CCACCTCCATCATACCATCACATCCACCTCCATCATAACATCACATCTACCTCCGTCATCCCATGACATCCACCCCATCATACCATTACACTTACTCTCATTATCCCATGACATCCACCTCCATTATCCCATGACATCCAGCTCCACCAATTCCATCACATCCACCCCCATCATACCATCACACTCACTTCCATCATCCCATGACACCCACCCCCCCTCATCCCGTGACATCCACCTCCATCATAACATCACATTCACCTCTATCATGCGATAACATCCACCTCCATCATTGATGAGCTGGTTTTGTTGGTTCTGGGTTTCTCTTTGCAACCTCACTCCCTCCTTCCCTGCCTCTTGGTGCAGCACAGTTTTGACTAGTCTCTTCATCTCTAGCCCATATCTCCAACAGCATGTAGAGAGAGTTTGGACACCCCTACTCTCCTGCTATTTTTTCCCATTAATTTTCCTTTAGCTCAAAGAAAAACAGTGTAGTTAATTGACTAGGCATAATCTTGACTACCAAGAGATCACACAAATTCATTGAACATTGAGTTCCAGCTCCACATCTTCTCATTTTTTATTTTATGTATATTTTCTGCCTTTGGGACAGTGGTAAAATCACTGACACAGTCGCCCTTACTACTAAAGGCTTGAGCCATCATTTATGAAACTTAGAGGAACTGAGAAATCACTTTGAACTTTTCTTTTCTGCCTCTGCTGCCTATCCCATGTTCTTAACGGGTGTTTTCTTTATGAAACAGAATAATTTCTCACTTAAATACCATGGTTACTTGATAAAATGATGACCCCTTTGGATTTATTTGTTTAAGGAACAAATAAATAGAAATTCAGAGTTGCTGAAAGTTCTGAACAAAGTGATGGACAGTGACTGTGCCCTTTGGGGATTGAAGATTTTGAGATGTTCAGTTGTTTCTGGAAGGAGAATCATAGAAATGTAGATATTCTAGTTGAATAGTGAGGTTGTTTAAGCCAAATTTATCCTAACTGGTTGTTGTCCATGTGTTACTAGATATTAATTATTCCAAGATTATCATTAAAATAAGGCAATGCAGAGGACATATTAAATTTTATATTCTAATACCAATGATAAGAGTGATTTGAAAAAAAATATTAAGAAAGGGACCTAGGTGGTCAAAGGCCTTTAGCCCTACAGTACTTAGGAACTCCTCAATATTCCAGTCTCACATGGCTTGAGGCAGAAATGATTCTTAATTAGACTCTCTGTTCTAGACTATTCCTTTTAAACTGTGGTTTTGAGCATGAAAATGGGCCGAAAAGAGGGTAACTCAGGGTGTCAATGAAAAAGAGAGAACAAAAGGAGATAGATGTGAAACTTTAAGAAACCAGGCAAGAGACAATGCCTAGGATTGGGAAGAATAGGTTCCCTTAACCAGATATGGGGAAAATAAACCCACTCTTAGATGGGCTGAAGAGGCTGTCCAATAGGGAATGCATGGTTTGACTGAAAGCACAGGGATCCTGAGAATTTTCCAGTGAGAAGAAACTTAAGGGGTTATAATGATAACCAAAGTGATTTTGATATGTGAGAAACTTACCATTGTTAGTAAGTCTGTGTCCACAAGTGGAGAAAAACTAGGACAAGACTTCATGGAAGAAGATAGAAAGTAGGTAGTTAAAGAGCCACATTCAAGTAGAGTTTGGGACTGGAAGCATGACTCAGTGGTTAAGAATACTGGCTGCTCTTCCAAAGGACCTGGGTTCAATTCCCATCACCCACAGGGTGGCTCACACCTGTCTATAACTCCAGTTCCAGGGCTTTTGACACCCTCACACAGACACACATGCATGAAAAACACCAATTAACATAAAATAAAAAAATTAAGTGGAGAATTGATTTAAAAAGTCAGAGAGCATCATTGAAAGGTCTGAATAAAGTGATGGGCAGGAATGATGGCGCCCTTTTGGGGCTGAAGTTTTTGAGATGTTTGGTTCTTTTTGGAAGGTATCCCAGAAATGTAGACTGTCCAGCTGAACATTCTCTCAGCGCTGTGAAGTCCTATGGGGTGCACTCAACAACAGCTCATCAAGCAGAGCACCCTCCTTCATACATTTTCTCCCTGCCAGG